GCACCAGTCTAGGTCACACACACTCGACACATCTTCAAAATGATAAAAATACATCTGGTTCGAGTAACCGTTACACATACAACAAACCAGAGACGACAAGACTAACACAAAGATATGGCGCTTAAACCAGAGTCCACCATCGACGTCACCAACCATCCTCTAACTAATCTCCGCCGCAGTGATCATCTGCTTCTGCTTCTGAAATAGAACCCTCCAATGTTTGAGGGTGTTGCTAACCTTAAGCTTATCCCGTTGGACCATCTTAACATGACCACGTGGAAATCCCAAAATCAACTCGACATCACTCTCATCTACAACCAATGATCTCCCACCACCAAGATCAAATGACCTTGATCGCAAATCAAAATTAAACAGCAACCAACGCAAAAGACGCGGTGGAACATCCTCAACTTTGAACTCAAGCAACGCCCCAAACCCGAGCTCCCGAATGTCAGCCTTCTGTTGAAAGCTCAGATCCTTCAAGGCGTTTACCAATATCACAGTTTGTCTCCTCATCTTCGCCCTAGGAAACAAAGCATCCTCCTAAACGGTCAGCTCATACTCGGGAGCATCCTCCTACGGTGGCTCTTGCTGAAACCTAGAATGTACCACCCTAGGCGGTGGCAACACAAAGTCACTATCACCATCGGATACTCCAGAAGGACCCGCATCCGATTGTGCACGCCTGGACTTTTTAGCTGCAAAAAGAGCAAACACAAACAAGCATATGACCCACCAACAATTTCGAACAAAAAATTAAATCGATAACGAACAATACACCCGAGCATATGAAGGAACCACGAAACCCAAAAAACAAAATTCACACTTAAGCAAAAACTATGCACACATCCAATGTGCAACTTCTACAAATCTCTTTTATTGGAGAAGGAAAGTTACATGGTGTGGGACATGCAGTTACTACTAAACAATGATTAAGAAAAGGATGGTTATTGCAAAAAATTTGTAACCACATTTTGCCCTAAAAACTATATAAACTACATTGCTCTTATCTTAGAGTTTAACTAAGACGTAGAGCTAAGACTACAAGATACCCCCATCTGCAAAAAGTTAATAACTGGCTATCCGCGCATTCTGTAGATATGAAAAGGCAATAGTGGCAAGTTCACATATTATATGCCATATAAACACCGAATTTTGCCAAAGAACACAGAGAAAAGGAAATCCTTTATTCCAACACATGAACATCTAGCCTTTTACAATTAACATAGTAAACTTGTAAAGAGTTGGTACTATCCTTCACAATATACCTCATTCCTCAAGCCTTTTACAATTAACATAGTATGTTTTCCATTATGATGCAGGCATGTTTAAAGAAATACTAGCACATGCAAATGTGGATACATGTAGACATATATCAAAGGAACAAACTAAAAAGAAGCTAGCCAGAAAACCCATACAACACAAACCTAAACGAATTTGAAAATGAGTTGACGCACATGTTCTTAGTATGATTCTAAAATCTGTCATACTATATTCTAGACATCTACTTCACATTAACTAAACATTTATGATGCTAGAAAGGAGATTCATGCTGCAAGTAAGCGTTCTACCCGGCAATTAATTCAAGGCAATTTGTAAATTTGGAGATTAATCACTATGCACACATCCGTAGGTAGCAGTGCACCCACCTGAGTAGAAAAAGAAGCTAACCACCTAACCCATACAACACAAACCTAAATGAATCTGTAAAAGAGTTGCAATCACATATTCTTAGTATGATTCTAAAATCTACCATACTAGATTCTAGACATCTACTTCACATTAACTAAACATTAATGATGATAGAAAGGAGATTCATGCTGCAAGTAAGCGTTCAACCCGGCAGTTAATTCAAGGCAATATGCAAATTTGGAGATTACTCACTACCACCAACCTATCATGCACCATACAGACAAATATATTAAGAAATTAACATTCTTCATAACATGTAGCCAGCCTATACCTAATTTGTTTTTAATCTCCAATGCAGAACCAGAAAATGAAAAAAAAAAAAAAAAGGTTTTATAGCAACCCCAAAATGCCCCCCCCCCCCCCTCCGTCCCCCATACACACACCTCAGCTAAACAGAGGAAAAAATTTAGAAACAGTTTACACTTAAATTGAAAGAAATAGTCCAAAAAATGAGAAAAAAAAAAACCCCCGACAGTTCTGCCACCACCAAGCCCACCGTGAACCCCACCCACCTCAACCAACAACCACCCCTCCCCCCCCTCCCCAACTCGGGTAAACAGGGGAATACAAATTAAGGTCCATGCAACCACACACCCCCCGCCTAGAGATGGAATCCCACATGCATAAACACCTCGGCCCCCGACCAAGCAAAAATAACGCAAAGGAGAAAAGTGTGACAAACATACCTCGACCTAAGCCATCAGACGGTGTTCCCCTGCGCTTGGCACCACCGTGATCCCCCCTGGCGACTATATCCAGCTACTGATGAAGACGGCGACTGACGGCGTGGAAAGGAGCTGCGGAGGCTACACAGACACGCGAGAGAGAGAGACCGAAAATATCGTTGTAATTAGGACTGACTGCTAAATTTCGACTACAATTGAACCGCTAACCCAAATACAAAACTCCAAAAATACCCCCCTTAAAATAAAACACACGACAATTTGATTAAAATCAACCATAATTAATTAAAAAAATCCTGTACATCCAATCTCAAAATCCAACGATCCAGATGAATCCACACTGTTTATATTTTAAGCACTGTTCGTATTTCAATATATATATATATATATATATATATATATATATATATATATATATATATATATATACATATATATATATATATATATATATATATATATAACACACGACAATTTGATTAAAATCAACCATAATTAATTAAAAAAAAAATCCTGTACATCCAATCTCAAAATCCAACGATCCAGATAAATCCACACTGTTTGTATTTTAAGCATTGTTCGTATTTCAATATATATATATATATATATATATATATATATATATATATATATATATATATATATATATATAGAGAGAGAGAGAGAGAGAGAGAGAGAGAGAGAGAGAGGAGGGTTCCTATGATAACACGTGTTTATGTGAGATTGTGAGATAAAATCTTGTGCATCAATTTTATAAATTTTAATGGTCTAGATCAACCTAGATCAATCGCGTTCGCACACACTTAATCGCATTCGCACACATTTAATCGCATTCGCACACACTTAATCTAGATCAATCTAGACCATTAAATTTATTAGATTGATGCACAAGATTTGATCGCACAATGTCACCTAGACCAGATCAATCCTATTTGCACACACTTAATCGCGTTCGCACACATTTAATCGCGTTCGCACACACTTAATTTAGACCATTAATATTATTATATTGATGCACAAGATTTGATATCAAAATCTCACCGAATTAAACAGGTGTTCTCATATGATCATATATATATATATATATATATATATATATATATATATAGGGTTGCATTCAAACATGTGGACATATACCGTGCACACACCTAAATGCGGGTGTGCACACATCGTGGACGACAATGCACACATCAAATATAGTATGCATGTGTGAATCTACAATATTTAGGCCGGCATGCACACGTCCATGAACGACAGTGCACACAGACGGGTAGCACACAAAATCATAAAAACTAATCACAACATTATATGCCCAAAATCCAACGATTCAAAAATGTCCACACGTTTGTATTTTAAGCCCTATTTTTATATGAATGTAATTATATATATATATATATATATATATATATATATGTATGTATGTATGTATGTATTCCAAATGGATCTTCAATTCTTATTGATCAGATCAAAGTAGTTCTATTTGGCTTGTAGTGGGCAAGAAGTTTCACAAAAACCAACTTTAGACAACTTAGGAATATTAGTTTGAAAGATTCAAACATGTGAAACCAAGAACGTAACTTAAGTCCATAAAATGTATTGTTTTCGTCTCAAATTCCTTGCCGCCCGCCCGCCGGCCACTTAATATATATTCCAAATGGCATCTTCTTAAAGATCATATCAGAGTAGTTACTTCAGCAAAAAAAAAAAAAAAATATCAGAGTAGTTACGTTCTATTTGGTTTGTAGTGAGCAATTCAAGAAGTTTCACCATGAAAACCAAGAAGTAAGTGCATCCTTAGGCGGGATATTTGAGGTGCCTATTGCCTAAGTCAGTCCCCAAAAAATGACAACATTTTTAAATGTATACGGTTTCAATACTTCAATTCGAATTTGGAAATGACTAAACAAATAAATACATGCCTTATATTAGGTAGATAAGTAGATAGAGATAATGATAAAGTAGGTATGTATGTGATGATAGAGGTATATATAGATATATATATATATATATATATATATATAGGATTTAGGAGGCGAGCTAGGTGGGTAGATGATATAGTAAATAAATAAGTGAATTGCAAGTTTGTGCCTCCCAACATATTATATGCATGCAATTAAGATTTTATACTTTCATGACCATATTTACAAAGATTTTTAGATTTTTGAGACTTCCTTACCTATTTGTGGGTTATTTGTCACAGAATGATTCAATTTTTAATTGTATTCTCTTGTTTCTTTGTATAGGCAAATGTAAAATTAGAAGGCATTTGATGGTATCTGTTTCCTTTCAAGTTGAAAACAGACAGATCGAGTTGCAAGTTTGGCCAGGCACTCCACCAACAGGATCAAGCCAACATTTTTTTTAAATAGGGGAATGAAAGAAGACTGAAAAAGCAAGTCAACACTATATATTTGAAAGACTAATCAAACAAATATATATTACTAAAAATATAAAATAAAAAGTACAATGCCCGTCAATTACTGCCCATTTATGTCATATATTGTGCCATTCTATATATATAATAATAGGCAATTCGCCAGCCTGCATGCACATTAGATATTAGCTCCGTTCTATAATAAGCATTTCTTCAAGAAAAACATAAAACACAAAATGAGACCACTTTACATGGCTTTAAAGACAATTCTGATGTTTATATTTATTGTGTTGCAGAGTAATGTCATTGTTGTTGTATTTTCATCTTCAACTCAAAAATGTGTACACAGCCAACGATTAGCACTATCACAGCTGAGAGCTCTCAACCTTCATTCAAAGAAGGTGATGGAATGGAATATGGAGGATGATTGCTGTAGTTGGGATGGTGTTTCATGTGACCCTGCCACCGGTTATGTCATCGGACTCGACCTCAGTTTTAGTATGCTGTCTGGAGAAATTTTTCCCATTTTCAATCTTCACCATCTACAAACTCTCAATCTTTCTTGCAACAATTTCAACAACACTCCATTTCCGTCCCGGGGGTTCGAGGAACTCAGAAATTTGACTCAAACAAATTTTCATGGTGAATTGCCCGAGTCCATTGGAAATCTTCAGTCACTGGAAGTTTTAGATATTTTTAGATGCAATCTCTCAGGGTTAATCCCATCATCTCTAGCAAACCTCACAAGTATTATTGAGTTAAACTTTAGATACAACAGATTCACTGGTTCTTTACCACCATTTCATAGTATAAGTGTACCAAATCTCTGGTACCTTGATATGTCATCCAATCTTCTCACGGTGGAATTCACTCGTCTCTTTTCACGCTACCATCTCTGAAATACTTGTACCTCCCTAATAACAAATTCAGTGGTGAACTTGAGGAGTTCTCTAATACATCTTCCTCTGTTTTAAAGAAAATATATTTGAATGGCAATCAATTGAGTGGGGTAGTACCTAAATCAATCTTTGAACTTCCTAACCTCATTCGTCTATCACTAGGCTCTAACAATTTTAATGGTAGTGTGAAAATTGAAATGTTGCAGAATCTCAAAAACTTGATATCTTTAGATCTCTCTAGCATTAGTTTGACAGATGAAGAAAATGATGATAGAAGCTTTGACTTGCCTCAGCTGGAAGAGTTGTGTCTACAAAAGTGCAATTTATCTGATTTCCCGATTTTCCTGAAGAATCAAGTACAGCTTAGAAGTCTAAATCTTTCAAATAATCACATCCGAGGTTATGTTCCTAGTTGGCTGGGGAACAACACACTCGAGAGGTTAGACCTTTCTGGAAATCCATTAGATTTTCTTGAGCCATCGTCAGCTCAGGGAAATAATTCATTTGTGTCACTATACCAACTGGTGATGCATTCTTGCAACATTTCCAAGGTTCCCAAATTCTTGAAAGGCCTTCCTGCTTTAAAGTATCTTGACCTTTCTGATAACAAGATAGAAGGTGAAATACCAAGCTGGATATGGATGCATCAACTTCAATTTGTGAGTATTTCTCACAATCTTTTATCTGCCCTTGATGAATTTCCCTTAAATATTTCTTTAAATGTTTTTTCTGTTTATTTTCATGGAAATCGTATAAAGGATCTCTTCCATCCGGAATATGCAATATGAGCCACCTGAAAGTTCTTGACGCATCAGATAATAATTTGAGTGGTTTGATCCTGAAGTGTCTGTTCAACCTGACAAGTCTATCAGTTTTGAACTTGAAAGGAAACAGATTCGATCAAATGCCTTCTACTTTTACCTTTGCCTATAATAATCTTCGCTCTCTGAATATAAATGGCAATCAATTGAAAGGGAAGTTGCCAAGATCACTGGCCAACTGCAAAATGCTAGAGATTCTTGATTTAGGAAACAATATGATATCTGATACTTTCCCATTTTGGTTGGAAAAACTCCCTTCACTCAAAGTTCTTGTCTTGCGAAACAACATGTTTTATGGTGAGGTGAAGATTCCTAGGACAAAGTTTGTGCTACCAAGCTTACACATAATTGATTTGTCCTCCAATAATTTCACAGGAAAGTTGTCTAAATATTTCTTGCAAAGTTTGACTGCAATGGCTATGGGTGGGGAAAACAAATCACTACCCAGCCTCATTGGAAAGCATGATAAATACTATCATGATTCAGTGACGGTCGTGAACAAAGGATATGAGATGGTGTTGGTTAAGATCTTGACAATATTTGTGTCTTTGGATCTGTCAAACAACAAGTTCCATTGCAATGTTCCGGAAGAGATTGGTGAACTAAAATCATTGGTTGTGCTCAACCTATCACAAAATGTTTTCTATGGGCAAATTCCAATATCATTGGGAGAGTTATCTCAACTTGAATCTTTAGATTTCTCAAAGAATAAATTCTCAAGAGTGATTCCTCCACAACTCACCAGTCTAACATTCCTGTCAGTATTGAACATGTCTTACAACCAACTAGCTGGCCACATTCCTTTGGGGAACCAATTCAATACTTTCACGAATAGTTCCTACATAGGAAATGCAGGATTGTGTGGAAGCCCACTCTCAAGAAAATGCAGTGAAGATGATGATGTACCAGTAGCACAGGATGAGAGCTTGGAAGGTGAAGAAGCCATGTTTGATTGGACGTTTGCAGTTGCTGGATGTGGGTTTGGGTTAGTTGTTGGGTTGACAATCGGGTTTACATTCTTGGCTGAATGGATTATTAAATGGGTCGTAAAGCAGGAGCAGAAGAAGAAGCAGGCAAGAAGGAAGAAGAAGAAAGTGCAGTTAACAGTCTAAAAGTGAGAAGATAGCTTTTGTTTTGTGTTTACATTCCCTAAGTCAAGGTTGTCTCATGTTGATATGTGCTTAGTATATATGCTTAATACCTTAGCTTGTTAAGTTAAATAGTACTTCTGATCTTCTTCTGTTTTAAAGTATTTGTATTTGAATGGCAATGAATTAAGTGAGGTGATATGCCTCTGTACATGAATTCTCTCACTTGCAATTGTAGCTTCGCTGGTGGCATTTGCCATGTTCAAAGCATGTAAAGCTTCTCCTTTTACCCAACTCTCTTTGAGACTTATACAACTAAATTACAAGATCTGTTGGGTCTTAATAGGCTCTACTTTTGTGTAAGCAGAGTTTTGAAAGGACAGTATTTGCAAGGTGTGCTTCCTTGGTGAAGTTATCATTTCTAAAGACAATGTACCAATTCAAGATTCTCTGCATTTATTGCAATAATCTGTTCTACTTATTGGTATAATATATTCTTTGCTTGATTATTAGTATTATTATTTTGTGCAGTGATATGAGCCGCAATTACTTAAGTGGTACAATTCCCCCTGAATATGCTTCTGCCAAATTGGAGTATCTCTAAGTTGTGTTGTGTATCTTATAATACTTTAGACGACAATAAATAAAAACTCGACGTATATTAGGTGACGTAGTATTACATTTTTGTATTAGTGTCAGATTAGAGTAGTTCTATTTGTTTCATAGTGAGCAAGAAAGTTTCACCATTGTGATATTTTAATTCAAATAATGTTAGGAATAATATACATGGGTGACAATGAGTAAAATAGTACCGGGTATCTATTTAATCTTCAGAACTCTCATGGGATATGTTTGGATGGTTAAAATTAAACAAAATAAAAAATGTTTTTAAACCCTTTTTATATTTTAAAAAAATGAAAAACTAGTATTATAGTTGAAATATGGAAAATAGTGCGAAAAAAAATATGTTTTTTTTTTGTTTGCTCCTGTCGTCCGTTTTCTATTTTTTAGTTTTTATTTAAAAAAAAATCAATGCAACCATAGTCTCTCAAGCATAAAAAACCATTGTCCTCTTATTTTTCTCATTTTGTGGATCCAATTCCTCTACATCACCATATAATCTCACCCCTTATTTAATTTCAAATCCATGTCCTTTTTTGTGGGTCCTACACCCCTACAAATCCATCTATTATTTTATTCACTTTTTTATAATTAATAATTTCAACTTTATTCTTTCCAAAAAGTTGAGTCCTAATCGAGCATCACTTTGAGAGGTTGTTCCCACACTGCCATCGGGTGAGACTCAATCCCTGATTATTCTTTCAAACTTCCATCTCTATAACCAATTTAGCTGCTCATGCGGACATAATTTCAACTTTATTAATTATAGGTACAAAGGGTACCATTAATGTAATTATCTAGGTACAAAGTCAATTTCCCAAAGACCACTCCAATTTGGGTACCATTAATGTAATTATCTTGGTACAAAGTCAAGTTCCCAAAGACCACTCCAATTTGGGTACCATTAATGTAATTATCTTGGTACAAAGTCAATTTCTCAAAGGCCACAACAATTTGAGTACCATTCATGTAATTATCTTGGTACAAATCAATTTCCCAAAGACCACTCCAATTTGGGTACCATTAATGTAATTATCTTGGTACAAAGTCAATTTCCCAAAGCCACTCCAATTTGTGTACCATTATTAACGTAAGAGTCACATTTGTGTGAGATTGTATCACATATCATTATTCGTGAGACATATCAGGTTGTATTTTTCATTCAAATTGATATTCAATTTTCTTCAATAAGTATTACAATTTTTTTCATAAGTAACATTTTACATAGAAGTATTACAATATTTACATTAGATTTACACTTTATAAGTATCACAATTTCGATCAGTTATAAATATTGTAATATTTATCATTAGTAACAATTATGTTACCCTAAATAGTATCACAATTTCAAATATAAATATTACAATATTTATAACAATTTATTTATTCCAAATTGGTATTAAATTTTATGTAATAAGTATTATGATTCTATCATAAGTAATAACTTGTTATCTACAACTCGACTAGTCTTACGGATAAGGATCCATGAAATGGTCTCATACAAATTTTTACGTTAATGTATTTATCTAGGTACAAAGTCATCAATTTTCCAATGACCACTTCAATTTGGGTACAATTACTGTAATTATCTGTATACAAAGTCAATTTCCCAAAGACCACTCCAATTTTTTGTGAACCAAATCCCACGCAAGAAACATTTCAATATGGAGTTTAGTAATAATTGGCACTAAAATATATTAATTATAAAAACCACAAATAATCATTCTCTATGATAAATATAAAAATTCATAAAAGAATATTTAATTTACGAGTTTTTATCCATTTTGGTCCCTTGACTATGGCTCATTTTTAATTTTACATTCCGATCTTTAATTGCACCCAATGTGGTCCCTTGACTTTAAAAAATTTTCCCAATTTGATCTTCGGTTACCTTTTCCATCAATTAGGGCGTTAAGTTGGGGATATTTTGGTCCATTCAACAGAATATGAAGCCGACGGGTGAGACGTCATAGACGATGCGATCTCTTCGTCTTCCATGCCGTCCGATGAGGATACACACTCAATGCTATCAATTTCCATCATTATCATATCCCAAAAGTCCACTACTCGAATTGGATGAAAAAATTCAAAAAAATTTCCTCAACTCATCTCTAGAAATCACCCCTGGAAATTTCTGAACTTCTTCTTTCAATTTCTTTTGGTTTCTTCTTCTGATCTGGTGGGAAGAATATGCGACAGAGAAAGAAGAATCAAAAGAAAATGAAAGGGAACAGAGTGGAGAATGGAGAGAGAGAAAGAGAGTCGAGAATGGAGAATGAGGCCGTAGCATTCGAGTCAGCGGAGAAGATAGTGCTCCGATGGGACTCGATTACATCGAAGGAAGAGAATGTGATCTTTGAAGGGGATCTAGAGGAAATTGATTAGTACTTGCACGCCGTCGTTCGAAGTGGAGTTACTGTCTAACTTGAACTCATCTTCTTCCTCGATCAACTACTCCGCCGCCACCACGGCGATGGCTGTGCAGAACGGCGGCAACGGAGTGCAGCCGTCTTCTTCCGGCGATCTCCTCCATCACCTCTATCTCCCTTTTTCCTCGGTTTTCTCTCCCTCTCCAGCTAGGCAGCAGACGACGATGTACAGTAGAACAGAGCAGATCGACGGCAGCAGCAGGTGTGGGTGGTCGGCGGTGAGCTAGGGTGGTTCTCGTCCGGCAGTAGCAGAACTCCAACGAGTGCAACAGAGCCTCCTGCAATGGCGGTGGCTGGGCAGACTTCTTCCTCTCTCCAGCGTGAGCTTGGACAGCGTAACCAAAGCTCCCAGGACCACCAGCTCCATGATTCACGACGTTGATGAACAAAATGGTCAAATTGGGTGGAATGGACCAAAATACCCCTAACTTAACGGCTGTTTGACGCAAAATTTAATGGAGGACCAATTTTGGGTAATTTTAAAACGTCAATGGACCATATTGTGTGCAATTGAAAGTCGAAAATGCAAAATTGAAAATGAGCGATAGTCGAAAGACCATTTTGGATAAACCCTCTTTAATTTACTGTGGACAATATTAAAGTAAGAATATGCTCTCTCAATTCTATTATTCTTAATATACTTCACACACACACACACACACACACACACACATACACACGCGCGCGCGCGCACACACACGCACACACACACACACACACACAAATATATATATATATATATATATATATATATATATATATATATATATATATATATATATAGAAGAGTTCAGGTGCGGGGAAGGGTTCCCGTGCAGTTGTGCGAAGGACGCACCTGGCCTTAAACATTAAAATGGCGCACCTTAAGTACACAAACCACGCACCTTAAACACACAAACAAAACACCTTAGAACACAAACCACACACCTTAAGAACACAACCCACGCACCTTACGCACACAACAAAGCACCTTAAGAACATAAACCACGCACCTAAGGTTTTAAAATGGTTCACCTTAAGTTTCACACAACTGACGCACGTTAAGCATACAAATCACGCACTTTAAGAAGGAAAACAACGCACCTTAAGAAGGAAACCCACACACCTTAAGTTTCAACAACTACTCACATTAAGCACAAAACTCATGCACCTTAAGCACAAAACTCACGCACCTTACATTTTAACAAATATTCAAATTAAGTACACAACACACGTACCTTAAGCACAAACCTCACGCACCTAAAGCACAAAACCACGCACCTTAAATTTGACCTAGAGACAAAAATTACCAAATTGTCACCGCGTTTTTTTTTTTTTTTTGGTAATCTTGAACATTAATTTATGTAAGATCAATGGCTCAAATTCAACCGCACGAAAACTGAATTTTGTGTGTGTGTGTGTGTGTATATATATATATATATATATATATATATATATATGGTGGAATTGGGGTACAACGTCAATTTCCCAAAGACCACTCCAATTCTTGTGAATCAAATTCCACGTAACATACTTTTCAATTTGGACCTCAGTAATAATTGACACTAAAATATACGGAGTATATTAATTATACAAACCACAAATAATCATTCTTTATGGAAAAAAAAAAAACTTAATAAAAGAATATTTAATTGGGAGAAGGGTCAAATAAGCCTTCGAACTTTATCCAAAAAGTCAATTAAACCCTTAAACATTTCAAAGCTGCAGTTAAACCCATAAACATGTCATTTCGATATATTGAACCCCAACAACCAGTTAATGACCTACTATTGTAGGTGGCAATTTATATCCTACATCACGGCGCGCGCTGCACTATGCACCCAGTGAATGACAGTAGTTTTTTCTTTAAAAAAAAACCCGCTATTCAAGAATGTACATAATGTTATACTAGAATACACATAATGTTATACATGAATGTACATAATTATATAACAAAATATACATACTCTTTTTAAAAGATAATACACATAATCTAACATAATACATAATAAACATAAACTTTTAACATAATACACATCAAATCTTAACATAATACACAAAAATTTTCTGATTCGGATGTACATAATTGTATAAAAAAGAATGTACATAATTGTATAAAAAATACACATAACTGTATGAACCAATACACATAGCGTTGTGAACAAATACACATAACGTTGTGAACAAATACACATAATCTCAGCAACTTCCTACCGCGCCTCCCAACACTACCCAAAACGACGTCGTTTTGGGAGGCGCGCGGCGCACAGTGCTATGTGCGCCGTGGTGTAGGATATAACGATTGATTGTAGGTCACTAAAATTCCAACGACCTTCTAACTTACTCTGGCGACATTTCAATTAACTCTGCCGAATTTTCGATCAACTCAGCCAAAATTTTAAGAAAAACAACTGAGAAGCGACCAAAAGGTTACCTTCTACCGGAGCAGATGGTGACCAAAAGGCCACCTGCCGGAGAAGGCAACCATTTTGGTCGCCTTCTCTGGTAAACTTCTCACTATAGAAGGCCACCGTACCATTGGTCGCCTTCTTCGGCAAGTGACCTTTTGGTCACTTCTTCGCATTTTTCCTTAAAATTTTGACGATGTTAGTTGGAATTAATCGGATTGTTGCTAGAGTGGGTTAGAAGGTTGCCGAAAATTTAGTGACCTGCAATAGCAGGTCATTAATTGGTTGTTGGACTTGGACATCAATGCATTAAAATAACATGTTTATGGGTTTAATTGTAACTTTAAAATGTTTAGAGACTTAATTGAAATTCTAGGTAAAGTGTGAAGGCTTATTTGAACATTTTCCTTTTTTAATTTATTGTGAAGAAAAAATTGAATACGTCTTTCTCAAAAAAAAAAAAATAATAAATAAATATGTACAATTTCAAGTAATATACTCCTTTTGTCCCATTTTATCTGTCATACTTATTATTCTTTGGTCAAATTAACTTTTTCTTCTTTGTTTATTTTCTTTAGTATTTTATATTTATTTTTAAATTTAATTTTTTGTGTTTAATAGTACTTTTAGTATAGTTTCTGAATATATAAATTTTGTATACTAATACTAAACTTTTTTTTTTTTTTGAATGCTACTAGCTCTATTACATTGTAGTATGGGGAGGCTCGAATTCATAACCTTCCAAATGGAAGTCCAACCCGGATACCATTAGACCACATAGTCCTGATTAATACTAAACTTAATATTGTGAAAAATTGAATTCAAAATAACTTCAATCAAGCCTGGTTAACTGAACCAGGCCTATAAAATGAGATGGGGAGTAATATACTTCATCTGACCCAAGTCATTCCTCTATAATAAGCACTTCCCCTACGCCGACTTTTTACATATTATAATAAAAAGATGTAAATAATTAATTTTTTATTTGTAACTTATTATTAAAAAATATATACACAAATTGATAAATATCATAATTCTTATTTAAAGGAATAAATCATATTGTAATCGGTTAATGATAAAAGGAATAAGACTTTATTAAATAAATTGAATAAAAACCTTATATCTTTAGAGCTATATAGCTGATTAGATTCATATTTTCCGGACTATTTAGATGGACGGCTATTATTGTGGTCGTGAAATGAATAAAGACAAGGAAAAGTGTGCACGAAAGAAGACTTAAAAGCAAGTCTACACATATGTTTGAAAGACTGACCAATATAGTCTGTGGAGATTAAATAATCATTCTTTATTTGCATAAAAACTACATTATCTTATAATATTATGAGAGAAATTTACAAACATGGACGGAGCCAAAGGGGGCAGGGGGTCAGCTGCCCCCCTCACCCCACTCCCGCCCCTACTCTATATATAATTTTTGTATGTATATATGTATATATATAGTACATGTTTGAGTATTAGTATATAAAAATTGTTAATTGTCAATAAGGAATGAGTTAGATTAGTTGGTAGAGCATGTGTTTGGTTATGATAAAGGTCAAATGTTTGAATCTTATGGGTGTCAATTTAATTTTACAGTTTTTTTAATAGTTTTTTTAATATTTAATACACACACTTACATAAATTCAAATTATTTTATCAAATTAATTGTGTTTCATATTTTGGTATGAATATTTTTATAAAGTTTCGATATGTTTTATTTTTTGCTCATATCCAATAATATTTACACCTATATTTCTTATGTAATTTATTTTTATTTTTTTTTTAAATATCTCTTTTATTTTAATGTTTCGCCTTTACTGGAAAAAATTTCTGAATCCGTCCCTATTTCGACCCCCCTCAACAGAATTCTTGGCTCCGTCCCTGTTTACAAATGATAATATAAATAATTAATATATTACTTATAAATAAAAAATTAAAGTTGAAAATAAAAACAATGTAGAAGTAATTAGATGGGTATGAATATACTCTGATTTATTTACCAGGACTATGTGGTCCAATAGTACCCGGGTTGGACTTCCACTTGGAAGGTTGTGAGTTCGATCCCACGGAGGCGTTCAAAAAAAAAAAAAAATACTCTGATTTATTTTATTCTTATTATTATTGCATGATGTGCATATTTTAAACTAGTTCCAATCAGGAGTAGAAAAATGGAGAAAAAGTAATTAAAAATTGGTCCCGAATTTAAAATAATAAAAAAAATGTCAGCCATTGCATATATGTCATTCCTGGATCTATATATAAGCTCCTCTGATCTGATCTATAATATGCACTTTGGATCTCCTGCATACACATTATTATTAGATATTAGCTTCACGTACTCCAATAAAATGACACTTTATATTCACTTAAACACATTATTTCTCATATTTCTGTTTCTCTTTATTGCGTTGCAGAGTAATATTGTATCTTCTTCCAATTCCATGTTGATGTTGTCAACTCAAAAATGTGTACACAGCCAATGGTTAGCATTGTCACAGCTCAGAGCTCTCAACCTTCATTCACCACCGCCGTGGGAGCCGTCGTGTGATGAAGACTTTTCAAAGAAGATGATGGAATGGAATATGGAGGAGGAGGATTGCTGTAGTTGGGATGGCGTTACATGTGACCCTGCAACCGGTTATGTCATCGGACTCAACCTTAGTTTCAGTATGTTGTCCGGTGAAATTTTTCCAATTTTCAATCTTCACCATCTTCAAACTCTCAATCTTGCTTGCAACAATTTCAACAATTACACCCCCGTTCCATTTCCGTCGTCGGGGTTCGAGAATCTGAGGTATTTGACTCACCTTAACCTTTCGCGTACCAGGTTCAGTGGTCAAATTCCTATGGGGATTTCGAGGCTAACGAGGTTGGTGTCTCTTGATATTTCCTGGATGTTTGATTATGTAGAGTTAAGAAAACCAAATCTTGAATCTTTTGTTATGAATCTGACTTCTTTAAAAGAGGTGTATCTTGATTATGTAGGCCTCTCAGCTCATGGGTCTAAAAACTGGTCTCAAGCCTTATCCTCTGCATTGCCTCATCTTGAGGTTTTAAGTTTGTCCAATTGTAATCTCTTTGGTCCTATCCACCCTTCATTTGCAACACTAAAATCACTGTCGTATTTGCAGCTTAGCGATAACAAACTGTCTCCTGAGATTCCCACTTTTTTTGAGAATTTCATGAACTTGGAAACTCTCAATTTGGCTTCTTGTGAGTTGTATGGAGATTTCCCAGAAAATGTTTTTCGCCTTCCAAAATTGAAAATCATTGACATCTCCAAAAATATCAATCTGAGTGTCCAGTTTCCAGAGTTTCCAAAACACAGTTCTTTGCAAAGCATTTCACTTTCTCAAACAAATTTTCATGGAGAATTGCCTGAGTCCATTGGAAACCTACGGTCACTACAAATTTTGTCACTTGGTGACACAAATTTTCATGGAGAATTGCCGGAGTCCATTGGAAATCTACGGTCACTAAAAATGTTGTCACTTGGTGACACAAATTCCCATGGAGAATTGCCTGAGTCCATTGGAAATCTACAGTCACTGAAATTTCTTGATTTTTTTCACTGCAAGTTCTCGGGTTTACTCCCGTCATCACTGGCAAACCTCACAAGTATTATTGAGATGGACATTGAAGGAAACAGATTCACTGGTTCTTTACCCCCATTTCATAGTACAAGTGTGCCAAATCTTTCAGTCCTTCGCATGTCATCCAATCTTCTCACTGGTGAAATTCACTCTTCTGTTTTCACACTACCATCTCTGAAAACTTTGTACCTAGATGGTAACAAAATCAGTGGTGTACTTGAGGAGTTCTCTAATACATCTTCCTCTGTTTTAGAGGAGCTGTATTTGAATGGCAATCAATTTGGTGGGGTGCTACCTAAATCAATCTTTAAGCTTCCTAACCTCATTCATCTGTCATTGGCCTCTAACAACTTCAATGGAAGTATGAAATTTGAGATGTTGCAGAATCTCAAGAACTTGATAGACTTAGATCTCTCTAGCAATAACTTGACAGTTGAAAATGATGGTAGAGGTTATGACTTACCTCAGCTACAGAAATTGAATTTAATGAAGTGCAATTTATTTGACTTCCCCATTTTCTTGAAGAGCCAAGTACAACTTAATGATCTGAATCTTTCTTATACTAACATCCGAGGTTATGTTCCTAGTTGGTTGGGGAACAACAGCAATCTCAAGGACTTGGACCTTTCTGGAAATCCAATACATTTTCCTGAACCATCATCAGCCATGGGAAATAATTCATTCATGTCGCTATCCGGTCTAGCATTGCATTCTTGCAACATTTCTAAGTTCCCTAAGTTCTTGAAAGGCCTCAAAAGTTTAGAGTATCTTGACCTTTCAGATAACAAGATGGAAGGTGAATTTCCAAGTTGGATATGGGAGAATGTGTTTCAATTTGTAAATATTTCTCACAATCTGTTTTCCGTCCTTGATGAATTTCCTACAAATGTTTCTTCTATTTTGTATGCTCTTTATCTTAATGACAATCGCTTCAAAGGATCTCTTCCATCCGAATTATGCAATATGAGTAGCTACCTAGATGTTCTTGATGCGTCAGGTAATAATTTGAGTGGTTTGATTCCTGAGTGCCTGCTCAAGGATGCACCACTAACTGTCTTGAACTTGAAAGGAAACAGATACCATCAAATGCCTTCTAATTTTACATTAGCAGGAAATCTTGTTACTCTTAATATCAATGGCAATCGCTTGAAAGGGAAGCTGCCAAGATCACTGGTCAATTGCGAAATGCTGCAGATTCTTGATTTAGGAAACAACATGATATCTGATAGTTTCCCATTTTGGTTGGAAAAACTCCCTTCACTCAAAGTTCTTATCTTGCGAAACAACATGTTTTATGGTCAGATTCCTAAGATAGAGTTTGTGCTACCAAGTTTACGCATAATTGATTTGTCCTTCAATAATTTCACTGGAGAGTTGTCTAGATATTTCCTGCAGAGCTTGAGTGCAATGACTATGGTTGGGGAATACAAATCACTACCCAGCCTCATTGGGCAGAATGATAACTACTATCATGATTCAGTGACTATTGTGAACAAAGGATATGATATGGTGCTAGTTAAGATCTTGACAATATTTGTGGCTTTGGATCTATCAAATAACAAGTTCCACGGCAATGTCCCGGAAGAGATTGGGGAACTAAAATCACTGGTTGTGCTCAACCTGTCACAAAATGTCTTCGATGGGCGAATTCCAATATCATTGGGAGAGTTATCTCAGCTTGAATCTTTAGACTTCTCAAACAATAAATTTTCAGGGACGATTCCTCCACAACTCACCAGTCTAACATTCTTGGAAGTATTGAACTTGTCTTACAACCAACTAGGTGGCCACATTCCTTTGGGGAACCAATTCAATACTTTCACGAATAGTTCCTACATAGGAAATGCAGGACTGTGTGGAACCCCACTCTCAAGAAAATGCAGTGGAGATGATGATGTACCGGTAGCACATGATGAAAACTTGGAAGGTGAAGAAGCCATGTTTGATTGGAAGTTTGCAGTTGCAGGATGTGGGTTTGGGTTAGTTGTTGGGTTAACAATCGGGTTTACATTCTTGGCTGATTGGATTATTAAATGGGTCATAAAGCAGCAGCAGAAGAAGAGGCAGGCAAGAAGAAAGTGCAATTAACAATCCTAAAAGTGAAAAGATAGCTTTTGTTTTGTGTTTACATTCCCCAAGCCAAGGTTGTCTCATGTTCTTATCTGCTTAGTGTATTGCTTAATCCCTTAGCTTGTTAAGTTAAATAGTACATCTTCCTCTGTTTCAAAGTATTTGCATTTACATAATGCTTTCGTTAAGCTAAATTGTGCATAAATTATGTTGTACGCAGTTTCTCAAGCACCTTTTTTTAAAAGTAGTTTTAATTACCATTTATTTGGTATTTGCATCAAATTTTGATTATTTTAATACTCAAATTTTATGGATCAATATTTGAACAAATATTATAAACAGATGTTGCGACTAGGCACTCTTTTTCTTTTTTTATTGTTGTTATCATTTATTGTGTTGTTACATTGAATTTTTCAATACAAAAGAAGAAGATCAGAGAAGACAAAGAAAGTTAAATTATTTTGGGACAAATACCCTCTAGAGCAAGTAAGTGCTTAATGCCTTAATCCCCTTTGGAGGAGTCCAAAAGAATTTGGAAACCATTGTCTATATGATTATGGAAGTTCACCAATTGGTCAACACAAGTGTTGATTTCGTGATGAATATACTTAAACAAACAATGTCAATTTCTATTAAGCAATTCTTTGATTATTTCACGATTAAACGTGTTAGAGACTCATCTTCCTATATCCTTATTAATTTTGTTGACACCTATATACAAGTCACTCTCTAAATAAACATGTCTAAGTATCATATCCTAAGAATTCTTACTGCCATTAAAGATTTAAAGATAGCCTATAAATATGTTGTTAGGCCATTAAATATGTTGTTGTGAGGTATATAAAAATTGAATATATTATACATTAAAATTGAACCTTCGATATATTAAAAATAAATTTTGACTCTATTTGGCAGAACTTATTTTAGAGTTAGAGCTTTATAGCTTATTTTAAACTACAAATAAGCTATAAACTTCATTTAGTAAAGCATTGGGGGTTAAAATAATAACTTAATTATTTTGAAATATTATCCAAGTAGAATTTCAAAATAAGCTACTAGTTTTTTATCGTCTTTATCTTTTTTTTTTTAATCTTTAATAATCTATAAAAATGACACTACACCATCTATCCTTCATTAATTAAAATTCTAATATTTTAGTTTATCATTTTACTTCTCCAGGCTCTCCTACTCCTAGCCTCGACATATATGTACAAGCTCCTCCAATGTAGAAGATAGGAGTCATATGACCGCTACCTTCCAAAATGAAGTCTCTAACATTGGTTTGTATGGGTATTGATTCAGAGACTTCAAGTAATTCAAGTGGTCCTTGGAAAATTACTTCTCTGTACAAGGTTTAGATTTGTTTTTATTTTTTATTTTTTATTTTAATTTTGAACTATGATAATGTTGAAATTGGGCGCTATAGTTAACGATGGCAAGATATAGTTATTTATATCAACATTTGTATTTTGTTTATTGTTTTTTTTTAAAAAAAAAAAAAAGTTTTTTGATGGATAGATACCTAGCTATGTTACAAAATAATACATATGTTCCATAAAATAATCTGTTACAAAATACTTGGTAATAATTTAGGGTGTGACGGATGTGACGGCATAGGTAATTTACCTATGCTTACCTATGACATTGCCATCTTCTGTCTTCTTCCTTTGAGGAAGGCTTCTTCATGCATCTTCTTCTTCTTCTTCTTATATATCTTCTGTCTTTTCTTCATTCGAGGGATCTTCATGCATCTTCTTCTTCTTCACGCCACGCCATAGACTCCTCGATGCTAGTGTTTCTATTTTTGTTTGTGGACTTGTTGCATCAATTCTTCTACTATTATGTTTAGACTTCATCGACAATGATGAAGCAAACAATGGTGAAGATGCAGTCCTTGAAATCATCTATTTCGACAAAACGAGCAGCTGAGGATATTCTGCCTCTATAAACTGAAATTGCTTCACTTATTCAGACTCCGGCCATCAGCAGAAACTCCTCTCCAGGCTCTCCTGCTCCTAGCCTCATCATATATGTACAAGTTCCTCCCATGGAGAAGATAGGACCGCTACCTCTCAAAACGAAGTCTCTAAAACTTTTTTGTATGTGTATTGATTTAGAGACTTCGAGGAATCCAAGTGGTCTTTGGAAAATTGCTTCTTTGTACAAGGTTAGAATTTTTATTTTTTAAATTTTGGACTATGATAATGTTGAAATAGGCAAATAACTATACTTAACGATATGATGATAAAGTATAGTTATTTATATCAACTTTTGTAATTTGTTTTTTTTTTTTTTTCAAAAAAGTTTTTGATCGATGGATACCCATACCAATGTTAAAGTTTAATTCTTGTAGTACACATTATTTCATAAGTATTACGATTTTTTTTCATAAGTATTATAGTTTTCATTATGAGTAATTTTTCAACTCCTAAATATTACATTTTAATTTTAAATTTTTTGTTCTCAAAAGTATCATATTTCATTGCATGTAGAAGATAATGCTCCGTAGCTTGAGTCCTATTTCTTTATTTCGTGTTTACATCTTGTTCATATGTGTTTGTGTTATTTTGTGTAGTTACCATAGTCTTAACTCCGTTATGATTTGCTTAGCTTCTTGTTGGTTTCCTTATGCTAGTGCCTAGATTATTGCGATTGCATATTGCGTGTCATAACTCCTATGTTACTCCTATGTTTTATGGTGAGGTGAAGATTCCTAGGACAAAGTTTGTGCTACCAAGCTTACACATAATTGATTTGTCCCCCAATAATTTCATGGGAAAGTTGTTTAAATATTTCTTGCAAAGTTTGACTGCAATGGCTATGGGTGGGGAAAACAAATCACTACCCAGCCTCATTGGAAACCATGATAAATACTATCATGATTCAGTGACCGTCGTGAACAAAGGATATGAGATGGTGTTGGTTAAGATCTTGACAATATTTATGTCTTTGGATCTGTCAAACAACAAGTTCCATGGCAATGTTCCAGAAGAGATTGGTGAGCTAAAATCATTGGTTGTGCTCAACCTGTCACAAAATGTTTTCGATAGGCGAATTCCAATATCATTGGGAGAGTTATCTCAACTTGAATCTTTAGATTTCTCAAAGAATAAATTCTCAACAGTGATTCCTCCACAACTCACCAGTCTAACATTCCTGGCAGTATTGAACATGTCTTACAACCAACTAGCCGGTTGCATTCCTTTGGGTAACCAATTCAATACTTTCACGAATAGTTCCTACATTGGAAATACAGGATTGTGTGGAACCCCACTCTCAAGAAAATGCAGTGAAGATGATGATGTACCAGTTGCACATGATGAGAGCATGGAAGGTGAAGAAGCCATGTTTTATTGGACGTTTGCAGTTGCAGGATGTGGGTTTGGGTTAGCTGTTGGGTTAACAATCGGGTTTACATTCTTGGCCATGGATTATTCAATGGGTCGTAAAGCAGCAGCAGAAGAAGAAGCAGGCAAGAAGGAACAAGAAGAAAGTGCAGTTAACAGTCCTAAAAGAAGATAGCATTTGTTTTGTGTTTACATTCCCTAAGTCAAGGTTGTCTCATGTTGTTATGTGCTTAGAATATATGCTTAATGCCTTAGCTTGTTTTGTTAAATAGTACATCATACTCTGGTTTAAAGTATTTGTATTTGTATTTACATACTTAATGCTTTCGTTAAGCCACTCTTTATTAATGGATTATCTCAGGATTAAATGTTTTAGACTCTCATCCTCCTATATCTTTATTAATTTTGGTGACACCGATATGCAAGTCACTCTCTAAACCAGCATGTCTAAGTATCATATCCTAATCTTACGGTCCTTAAAGATTTAAAGATAGCCTATAAATATGTTGTTTAGGCTCAAAGCAATACTAACTCTGAAAGTAAAACACAACCATTTGCCATGGCTATTCCTCACCACTTTGAAAGTTATGCCAAATTTTGATTAATTTAATAGTCAAACCATTTTCTGAATTTTTTACATTTGGACTTAAAGTATTATTTAAAAGGAGTCGAATTGTTTCCACTCAAAATTTATTTTTTATTTTTTAAAATCACTCTAACGTAATAAACTTGTCCTTTAATATCTTAGGGACATCAACAGGCAAATTATACCGTGCACCAGGACGCACAATGCATTGTGCGTTATGACCCAAAACGACGTCGTTTTGTATATTTTGCATGTCTTAAATTCTTTAAAAAAAAAAATTCACATGTTTCGAATGTACAGAATTGTATAATAGAATGCACAAAATTGTATAATATGATGTACAGAATTTTATAACAGAATATACATAATCTTTTTTGAAAGGATAATACACATAATCTAACATTATACATAATACACATAAATTCTTAACATAATACACATAAACTCTTAACATAATACACATTTAAAAAAATTCCATATTTCGAATGTATAGAATTATATAATAGAATGTACAAAATTGTATAACAGAATGTACAGAATTTTATAACAGAATGTACAGAATTTTATAACAAAATGCACAGAATTTTATAAATGCGTCAATTTCCCACACAACTTAATAAAACGACGTAGTTTTGGAAGGCGCGGGGCCCACATTACTATGTGCGCTGTGGTGCACGGTATAATGATTGACATCAACCCTTCTCCATGTTGGGAGGCAAATTATAATATGGACTATTATCTATTTTGAAATGTGAATCACTAATAAATATTTATTTATAATATAGTGAATGCTAGTTTTACGTGGTATATAAAAAATAAATATATAATACATTAAAATTGAATCTTTGATATATTAAAATTAAATTTTAACTCTATTTGTTAGAGCTATTTTAGAGTTTGTGCTTATAGCTTATTTGTAGAAAAGCATCAGGAGTTTAAAGTAATAGTTTATTTTGAAACCTAATTCAAGTAGCATTTCAAAATAAGCAACTCTTTCTATCTTTTTATCTTTTTATCTTCTTTTTTTTTTTCTTTAATAATCTATAAAAATGATACCATCTAACTTCATTAATTAAAATTTGAGTTAATACCCAAAATCGTCATCGACTATAATGGTTTTTCTCAATTTCGTCCTAAACGACTTTGGTGACCTAATATCGTCCCAGACTTTTGTGTTTCGCTCAATTTAGTCCCAGACTTTTGTGTTTTTGCTCAATTTAGTCCCTCATTTGTTATTCTGTCCATTTGGTGTTAAATAAATAGACAATTCAGTAATTTTAATATTGGCATCTCTTTACTCATAGACATGTGAACTGCGAAATCCCATTTTTTTTTACGAATTACTCCCAGAATTACTCCTAAAACTGCGAATATAAAATTTGATTTGCAGGTCCGGGAGTAATTCTGGGTGTAATTCGTACAAGAAAGAGGAATTTCGCACTTCACAAGTTGAAAGTAAAGAGAGATCAATATTGACATTACTGAATTGTCCCTTTATTTAACACCAATTTGACGAAATAACAAATGGAGGACTAAATTGAGCGAAACACAAAAGTCTGGGATGATATTAGGTCACCAAAGTCGTTTAGGATGAAATTGAGAAAAACCACTATAGTCGAAGACGATTTTGGGTATTAACTCTTTAAAATTTTAATATCTTAGTTTATCCTTTTATTTATTTTTACACATATCAGCTAATTTAACAATTAATATTACCAAACATTTTAATTTCAATTAGTTAGCTTATTAGCTATTAGTTTTTCAACTTTTAACTTTCAGCTAGTTTTTTTAACTAAACGTGCCAAAAAAAGAAAAAAGTCTTTATGTCAATAATCAATTTTACAAGTGGACCATGGTCTAAAGTATTGATTGTTGTATGGATAGTTGAGAGATAACAAATTTTTATGCGGATCATAAAATAAGAGTTAATATCATCTGAGGTCTTCCGAGTATGGTGGTGTCGCCATATTTAGTCCTAAACTTTTAAATTGACCATTCGTGGTCCTCTAACTTTTGAATTCGACCAGCTATGATCTTTCCGTTACTTTAAGCCGTTTAGGCCATGAAAAATAAGGATCAAAACGTCTTTTAACATTTTTTATCCGCTTAGGCCCTATGTCTGATCTGCCAATCTAAACTTGATCTCTAGCTCATCTTTGGCTTTCGACATTTGTATAAGAACTACTATGAGCACGAGGATCTTCACTTCAATTTTCGTCCAACTTATTAGTGCCCAATTTTATATATTAATCTCTCTCACACATACGCACAAAAGAGAAGAAATCCAACTGTGCAAGATAAACTTCAAATCATTTAGAAAAAGAAATCTTAAATTGAAACGTTAATTAAACATCAAACCAGAAAATATTAATAGCACATAATGGGTGTATTCAAGAATTCTTGAAAAAAGGCATACAAATCAAAAACAGGAAAATAAGATCAGTAAAAGAATTAGGAAAAAATGATTACTTCAAAGAAAGAAAAATCCCTCTCAGGCTCGGCGGACATAGGATCGATTGATGCGATGCATATTCTGATTCGGTTTACGTCGGAGCTTGATTGCAAGAAGATTTTGACGAAGAATCAAGTGGTCAATGAGGGAAAGCTGGTCTGATTCGTCAGGTGGGTGCCAGACTGGAATACGCAAAGAGACTTCCCAGTAGCTGCGATATGGATATATGCTTTTACCTAAGCTACCTTATCATTTGTTTGATGCTCAGATTATTTGTCTGATTTGTGCGCCGGTGGGAAAATTGTTGACGTTGGATTCTTCTACGGTGAGGCGAAGAAGACCGAGCGTAGCCAAGGCTAAGGTAGAAATTAATTTTTTGAAACCATTAATTGATAAGGTTTGGATTGAAATTGTGGCGGAGGAAGGAGGAACTCAGGGATTATGGCAAAGATTAGAGTATGAGTTGGTTCCCTTTTACTGCTCTATATGCAATCGCCACAAATCGAAAGTCTATAAAAGGGGGAAAATTTTGAGGAAGGTAGCAGGGGTGGCGCCGGAGGCTGGTGATGCAACGGTGGAGGCAGGTGGTGAGTCAGGGGCTGCGAATAATTGGATAAACAATGTCAAAAGACTATTATATCCTTAGATTTCACGGTCTGAGACGAAAAAGTTTAACGGAAGGACCACCGCAGGTCAATTTTGAAACTCGGAGGATCACGAATGGTCGATTTGAAAGTTTAGGACTATAGATATTGGAACAACTAAATTCGAGGGACCTTGACTGATATTTACTCTTTTTAATATATTAAGAGTACATTATACAAATTATGTAATTTCACTACTCAAAATATACTCTGTATATTATTAATATACTAAAAATACATTATTTGTGTACTGAATATATATTATTTGATAGTATACAGAACAATGTACTTTCAAATAATATATTTTATGTACAAAAATAATGTACTTTTTATTTGTAGTCCACACACCTATGTGAACCATGATCAAAATAACGTATCTTGAGAGACTACATGAGTTCTTGAGAATGCAACGAATTATGGGCCATCAAAATAATACTACATGGGCTCAATAATGGGAAGCCCAATCAATTCTTTTGTTTAAATATAATCATTTATTTTAATTTATTTAATTTAAATAGCTTTGTTCTATTTTATCAATAGTTATGTTGTGCATCCGTATGCACCATGCATGGTGCATACGGATGCCAACGTCGTTTTATTAAAAAACGCGTGTCTCCTTTTTAAAAAAATTCAGGTTCGATTCCTAGCAACAATATTATATTGTTCATTCATTTTGGAATTTTAGTTCATAGATTATGGAATTATAGTTCTTTGATTATGGGATTATAGTTCATTGATTATGGAATTGTAGTTCATCGAAATTTTAGTTTATAGATTATGGAATTTTAGTTCATTCATTCTGGAATTTTTAGTTCATAGATTAGATTATGGAATTATAGTTCATCGATTATGGAATTTTAGTTCATATGTTGTTGCTGGGAATCAAACCTGATTTTTTTTTTAAGGAGAGACGTGCATTTTATTAAAACGACGTCGTTTTTGCATCCGTATGCACCATGCATGGTGCATACGGATGCACAGCATAATTTGCCCTATTTTATGTGCCTTAATATATTAAGTTATTTATAATTCAACTATAAGAATTTCTCTAATAATATATATTATATATTAGGGTCTTAATTAAGTGGTGCAAATTGACTAGGCTTACTAAGTAGTTTGGTTAGACTGAATAACTACAAGTAGTTATTCAACCGTTTCGTGCCGATTTTCCTCCTGCAACCGTTGTTGTTACGCCATTATCCCAGGTGTCCACAACGGAAGGTGAATCGGAGTTGGCATTGCGACGAAGCTGGCATTGCACCAGGAGGGACAGTGGAGGCGAGGCTGGGTTTTCCCAACAACGTCGCTGCTTGTTCTTCTCCTTCAGGCAACGCCCGCGACGAGCTACTGCTACTCCATCTCCGTGCTGCTCTTAGAGTCGACGGCGGGCTGAGGGCAGTTGGCGGGGTGCGACGGCGTTGGTTTCCGGTGATGGCAGTAGACTGACGATGACGAACGCATGACGTAAAGGAATGTCGAGCGTAGCAGATTGT